TTTTTTTTTTCTTTGTTGCCATCATATCGGTATTTCTAAGTGTCTGTTTCAAACGAATTTGAATTACTCACTATAAGCATTGTATTAATTAATTACATTTCAAAGAAAAATCAAATTTTTCTGCGCTGTGTGATTTTTTTTTTCTTTTTGAAGTTTTCTTGTAACTTTTAAATTTTTATTGTTGCCGTTTAATAAACTTGTTTTAAAAACTGAAAACAGCAGTCAGTTAAGTTTCTACGTCTTCATTTATTTTTATTTGGTCTGTGTCAAGCCCATGTTTTCGAAGAGTAATACTGAGCTAGCACGACCAAAACGATCTTATCCGCTGTCGTCTGCCAATCGGCCAATGCTTTAAAGAGAACTGTAAATGGCTAAGGCTTACCGTGGTGTCCTGAAGATGACCCTGAAGTTTATGTCTGCGGGTTCTGCTTGTTTTTTATCATTTACCTTAAATGCTTAACGTTTTTTGATTGGTAAAAGAAATGCGGAATTTGGCGGCAGTAAAGTCTCAGGTAAGTTAAATTTTATTGAGAGATGATGTGAATGACTGTAAAAACGGCAGAGACTAAAAGTTCAATACCGTTCGCATTTGCGGTTAACTTTCTGTTGTAAAAGTTAGGACTAAGAAATCACTAAAATAAGATTTTCAAATATTCCTTTTCTTTGAACTTAGCGAACAATTTCCAAACTTTTTTTTTTTGTATTCTGAAGCAAAAAAGTTTTTTTTGGTTTGTAGCACCACTTAGTGGGAAAAAAATTAAATTTAGCTCTTTTTTTTCTTCCCGGCAAACGACACAGTTTTTGTCGGAAAAAAAAAAAAAAAAACGTTTGTTGTTACTGAGCAGTTGGATACGTGAGGAACTTTTAAAAGCCAAAGATGATTTGCAGAATTTTTTTGCAATTATCCTATTCGACAGTGAACAAGCTTATTAAGCCAGTGTCTTCCTTAACTTGTGATTTTCCCGACTTCATTGGATTTCTTTGATTTCTAGGTGTCTTCACCATCTTTTTAATGTTTTACTGAAAGAAGCTGCGTACAGTTATTTACGCCTGTTGGTTACTTTGGATAGAACTGTCTGCACACAGCAAACCGCATTTTTTCCATGTATCTGCTTTACAATTACCAATCAATTTTTTTCAACAATGTAAATATTGTAGTTTAGGATGATCTATAAATCAGTGTGAAATTCTTTCACCGCTTAGGAGATTTATTTGAGATTATAACACCGATACAATCTTTCAGGAATAAATGTCCGACTTTTAAGAAATTTTGTTCTAGATTGAAACATTACAGTGCTACAGCGAAAGTATAATTATTAAAGGTAAGGAATTTTGCAACAAGAAAAGTTGAGATTGAAAGAGAACGAAAAAAGTCTTGCAAGAGGTCTTTTTCAAAGTGACACTATGGTAATCTCTCAGACGTTTTCAGCACAATTTAACAAAATATAAGGGACGGTCTTAAATGAATAACAGGAGTGAAAATTTACAGATAGTAAAAATGTAAATTTGAAAATAAAAAGATTGTTTTTAGAAATGTGA